TTTCCGTCAAATTGCTACAGTGGTAAGGTGTGCGTTGAAGCTCGTCATCACCGTATCGGCGGCCGAGGGTCCGTCTCCCACCCCATCTCCAGATACTTCGGCCGCCACCGAGGCTGAAGTCTCTGCCTTAAGATCTTGTGTGTGGATACTTACAGCCATGGCTGCCTATAAGATGATTATGGCTTAAGCAATGTTGATTGTGGTCTAATTTGTTGTAGTTCACTCCAATTTTACTTCTTTCTTTATTTATTTATTTTTAATTGGTTTTATTTATTTATTGTTATTATATTCATTTTCTATATCAATGTCAAATTTATACATGTTATTAAATATTATATATTTGAACCTCATTTGGTTGTGGAGATTAGTCATGATTTATTAAATAATTGGACTTTGTGTGATGTTTGGTAAACCAAATAACTTCCCGCGTGCGTCGACCTCAGGGGCGAGTCCACCCTTGGGCAAGGGTGGTCTGAAGCCCCCCTCAATTTATATTTTTTACCCTATATTATACATATATATCTATTTAGCACACCTAAAATTTATTAATTAGCCCACCCAAAATTCAAATTAATGCAAGAAAAGCCCCAGTTTTTTTTTTATTAGCCCACAAAAAATTCAAATTAATGCAAAACAAGCCCCAATTTTTATTCATTAGTCCACCCAAAAATTAAAATTAATGCAAAAAAAACTCCAATTTTTTTTTACATTTCCTTTTTTTTTTCTTTTCCCATTTTCTTATTTTGTCACAAAAGAATCCTAACATAATTTCGGGTCCCTCGAACCCCCGAAAATTTAAGCTCACCATGGAACAAATCCCTGGACTCGCCACTCATCGACCCGTAAATATTATGTTATCATGCATTTTAGAGAGTTCTTTTATTGAACATTTCGGGATCAAATAAAACAATCGGTTTTTCGTTAGATTGTTTAATCTTATCTTGACAACCAACGAGCCCAAATGATATATGTGAAGATTTAGATTGTAGAAACCGAGACACAACAAGATCAGAGACGGGATATTGTATATTTCTTGGAGAATCACCGATTTCGAAAATAGATTGTATTGAAAGAGTTGAAAGAATATTTAAAATAGTTGGGAGTCAATCTTCATCGACAAGCCATCGTTGCTTTGTGATAATCAAGTTGCCTTCACACAGGGGCGTACCCACGCCTAAGGCTGGGGTGGCCCCCGCCCCTCCAAGATTTTTTTTATTGAACCTTTTTTTTTTGGGTATTTATGTATTAGTTTATACACTTTCGCCCCCCAAACTTTTAATTTTGTACACTTTAGTCCCTAAAAACAAAAAAAAAATCTCTTAAATTACCCCTATATTTCCGCCCCCAAGAAAACCCCTCTGGGTCCGCCCCTGCCTTCACACATTGCCTCGAATCCGATCTTTCATGAACAAACAAAAGCACATCGAACTTCATAAGAAAATTCAAGAAATTAAAGGGTACTTGAATGAATTTCTTCAGCAAAATATTCGAATAGAAACGTTATTATCGACACCGTTATTTATGCCATCACCATTGTAATCATAGTTGAATCATTTCTATATAGGGTTGACCTAAAAAACCGTAACGTTCATAAAATCCCTAACCAGATCAAATGCAATCATTAATCTCGTAGAATTTCTCAACCAATCTGGATATAATAATATCGTGAAGTAATTTGGAGCAGCCGGACTTATTTTGCGTCTTTAATTGACCTCTTCTTATATTGATGTTATAGACTCGTAATTTCCAATTGCAAATATGTTTCATAACGTTCCACCGATATTTTTTAATATCAGAATGAAATTAAAACAAGAAAAACGGGCACCTGAATAGTAGCAGTGTCGTGATTCATGTGAAATTAATTTCATCGCTACAAACAAATAATCGATCTTTCTGCGAGAAACTACGAGTCCCCTTCAAATGTAGGTTCGGATATGAAAGAACGAAGCTCTTTAGCTTTGTCATCATTGAATCCCAACGCAACCAATATTTGATGACCTGGCGATTCTTCTTGCTTCCATAATCCAAGCAGTAGATGACTCGTCGTAATCTCCCCGTTTTCCCCTACCAATACAATACACATTCACCATTCAAGATTTGAACAATTATTTCACCTGATAATAGATATTAAAAAAAAAAAAAAACACACACTCACCAGATTTAAGCTTTTCGTCGATAGCCCAATCAAGGGTCGTTTGAGCGGCTTCGGTTAGAGGAGGATGCTCGGGACTGAAGAAGTACATATCAGGCTTACCGCGCATCTTGAAAATTTCGTCGCGCACCTTTTGTAGTGTTATTCCATTCCCACGTAAGAATTTCGATGCAAAATTAGCTCCTTCGTGCCGCCTAAATATACATTAGAATTGTTTCGTAGAGTAATTCTCTCGGGCAAGTAACTATAGTGTGGCCGAATACTAGAATTCTTTCGTGCAAGGCTTACTGCTCTCCAACACGATCGAATAATTTATTTTTCGTATTTACTGCCTAAGATGAATAAATAAATTAACAATTAAAAAAAATGCTATGGAACCAATTCCAGCTGGCAGCTTGAATAAAACAGTTAAGAGTAGAATTTCGGATATCTTCGGCTACTACTTCAATGCTTACTTTACAACTCTGCTCTATGGAATTCACTACCCACTTCCGCAGAGAGCAAAAACGAAAGCATGTTTCCTTAAATATTGACGAGTAAAAGAACAAAAAGTTGCCCAACGAATGTACATACAGAAAAGTGTAGAATCAAAAATCGAAAACTAATCATGGGGGGGTGGGGGGGCATGGGGTGGGGGTGAAGGGGGGCAACATACCCTCAATCAAGATTCCCATGAGAATAGCTTCCGTTGCTTATGCCTTTATCGCCTTTGACGACCATCTATAATTTCACTTAACCATATTCACAAACACTTCACTTGCAAAATAAACTAAGCCAAATAAACGAAACGTACTATAATCCACAAACAAAACAAACTACTTGACATGCGTAATTGGGCCAGCCCAATGGGTCTAAAATTTGTTTACCTGCTGGGTCACGCGTCCAATATTAAAGATCAATACACCCGAGGCCCAATACCTTCAAATGAGGTTTGGGCCCAAGAATCTCAAGTGAGGTATAAATAAAGATTTGAATATATTCCTTAAGGTACGTCCTATTACCTCAGTAATACTACCAACTGTATTCTCTGGACCATTTATACTATCCGCACGTCTAATTTGAGCGTCGGAGGAGTTTCCGCCAGATCAACCCCGGCCTAGTTCACGTGTTCTAATCAGATCGCAGGTATCTCAAGGTCATAAAGCACGTGAGCCAGTGATCCACTCTGCTCTTCCAGTTCATCCTACTTCAACTCTCTAAGGTGATCTATTTATAGCATCATTATTTTAGCGCCGTCTGTGGGAAGGCATAAAGATCACGTAGCGCACATGATGTCCCTGAGTCATCTACTCAGACTAAACGTGCCAATGCTAACAATCTCCCACCTCGCGGAGGCTCTAACTTGCCACTTCCTCCTCGTAATCAGGATCCACATCATGATGTCCAGATAAATTCCCACACCCGCGATCCAACATATGTTCGTCCTCGCTAGACCTCACTGGGTCCTCATCATGATCAACTCCTACTTTGCTCATCGAACGGTTAAGATAATCGAAGTGGAACGACCACCAAACAAGTGTGTTCTGAGCATCCACTTCGGACCATAGGTCTCGAATGCAACAACCCAAAGGGCTTCAAATCCCATCTCAAAAGCTGGGTATAATATCTCTACCTCAAGGATAGAACATCCCCCAAGGGGTGAACATGAACCATCTCAAAAAAAAAAAAAAAAAAAATAAATAAATAAATAAAGAGAAAAAAAAATAGCTAGCGCGGGGTGCACGCGCGCTTGAGGCATCCATCTACAAAACGCGCGCCTCGGTAGGCGAGCGAGAAAAAAAAACAGAGACAAAGAGCTAGCGCGTGCGCAACACACTCGCTTGGGGCAGCCGCGCATCTGCAAACGCGCGCCTCGGTCCCCGCTCGAAAAGAAAAAAAAAAGTCTGCGCAGAACGCCCCGCGCTCTCCTCTCTCTCCCGCGCGTGCTGCGCACACACACGCCCCCACACACCCTCTTCCATGTCAAATCGCGCGGCCCCATCTCCCCACTCTCCCCATTTGTGCGGTTTCCGATGTGCATGTCAAAATCATGCGGCCACATGTCAAATCACGCTCCCACTTCACATCGCGCGTCAGCTCCCCATCAAATTGCGCTCAACTTTCTACACGCAGTCTTCTACGCGCTTCACTAAATCGTGTGCGAATTTCAATGCGCTCCACTAAATTGCGCCCGAATTTTTACATGCTTTACCAAATTGCGCCCGAATTTCAACGTGCTCCACCAAATCGCGCGTGCTCTTCAACGCACCTTACCAAATTCCGCGCACTCTCAAACGGATAAATACAAGTTAATGTAATACTACAACACCGATCTACTCTCGACACGATCCGGTACCCTTTTCGACTTGGCTCCCACATCGACTCGAGAGTGGGGGGCTTGCAAGACAACTCCCACGAGGAGCCAACTCGCTCAATACTACAACCCGCAACGAGACAACTCCCACGAAGAGCCAACTCGCTCGGTACTACAATCCACAGGGAGACAACTCCCACGAGGAGCCAACTTGCTCAGAACTACGAACCCGCAGCGAGACAACTCTTACGATGAGCCAACTCGCTCAGTACTACAACCCGCAGCGAGACAACTCCCACGAGGAGCCAACTCGTTCGGCACTACGAACCCGTTGCAATGCAACTCCCACGAGGAGCCACCTCACTCGGTAATATAAGACTCGCTGCGAGACAACTCTCTCGAGGAGACAACTCGCTCGCGATTCACTACAGAATCACAAGCTCAAGTTAGCACGATTACAACCCTTGAAACACTTAGAGATATTACGAGAATCTATATAGCCTGGCCAGCTTGATTACTCAAATTTATCTACTTGTTTTCGACGGTTCCTTCATTAAAACGTCGCCACGGTCCAAACATACTTACGGCCCACGAGGTCTAACAAGGGTCACGATCCCCATACAAAAATATTGAGAGCCTGATCCACTCATCAAGTACATCACACACAAGGCTATATGTAAACACATACAAGCAACGCGTCAAACCATTGACAAAGTCAATAAATAACAACTCTCACGAGGAGATAACTCGCCGCGTGCTACTACATTGTCGCGAGACAACTCCTACGAGGAGATAACTCGGTCAACACTATAACCCCGCGTCGAGACAACTCCCACGGGGAGCTAACCATTCCATACTACTACATCGTCGTGAAACAACTCAAGTAACTTGCATCGCCACAACTTGGTCGCGCTCGCGCTACCATCGCAAAACTCCGGCCATGCACTGTTAAGTGTATATTTTTACACTTTATCGTATCTTTTTATTTGAGCTTTTGGTGTGTTTTAACGATAATTGGTGCTTAAAAAGTTGATTTATTGTATTTTAGGTACAAATTGAAGAATTGGAAAAGTATGGGGTCAAAACTGCAATTTTGGAGAAAATATGGGCCAAAAGTGAAAAAATCAAAATTCTGAAGATTTGAAGCTCGGACCCCCGTCCCAGTTTTAGTTCAAATTGTGGGACCCCCGTCCGAGACTCCGAAGTTGCGCAGTAAAGGGATTTTAATTGCACAAGAAAACTGTTTTCTTCCCCAAGTTCTTCACCCTATATAAGACCAATCCAAGCACACAATTGAGGATCTTTTTACGCAATTTGGAGAGCAACAAAGCAATAACGAAGACGAAGAATTCGAAGACTCTAAGCATAGATTTATCTCTTATGACTTATTTTATTTGTGTTTTTTCCTTTAATCATGAGTAGCTAAATTTCTTATTTCTAGGATTTTATTTGGAACCCTATGTGGGATTTATGAACCCTTTTCTATGATTTTATGCAAGTTTTAATTCCGGATTATTTCTTCTACTTGTTTTATTAAGTGCATGAACTTGATCAACTTATGTGCTTTTATGTTATTGTTAATCGCATGAATCGGAAGATCGGGTTAATAATTAGAACTGTGGTAGAAGAGCCTTTGTGGTATTAACATAGGAATATAGTTAATCTCTTAGGTAGCCATTATTGAGATTTGTGCTTAATGCTGTGTTCTAGAATTAATTGCATAGGAATATAGTAATTGAATCTAGAGTATTAGAATCGTAATACACGCGGAAGCGGGTTATGATTATTTTAGCATCTCAGGTTAATAATCTGGGTTAATTGCTAGCATAATTGAAGGAATTGGGGGAATAATAATCACATAGGGGGAAGAATAAAATCCTAGGCTCGTTTACTCTGATAAATCTTCGTTTTAATTGCTTTCTTGTTTTTGTCTTTTTAATTGATTTAGTTTAATTTAGTTTATTAATCATCTTTCGACTCTGTAGGGTGGGCTTGATAACAATTGGTAGAATTTAGCGTCTAGGATTAGATAATTAAATATTCTCTGTGGGATCGATACTTGGACTTAAAAATCCACTTTATTACTTGTAAGATACGTGCACTTGCGTGTAGGTTTTCGGCCAACAAGTTTTTGGCGCCGTTGCCGGGGAATATTTTAATTATTTATTTTATTCTAGCTCTAGATTTGAACAATTTTCACGATTCACCCATTTAATTTTTGTTTTATTTTTTTTAGGTACCGTGTATGCGTAGAAGACTCGATCTTGCTAGAGAACCGTTTGATCCCGAAATCGAACGTACTTTTCGAGCCGCTAGGAGACTTCAACGCGAAAACAATATAATGGATGACGAAGAACGCAGGGCCGCGGGCAATTTACTCGAGGGAAACGGAAACCAAGTCCAAGACCCACCCCCTCAACTTCCAGCACAGCCAGCAGTTCGTCCACGAGCACTTCAAGATTACATAATCCCGACTCATGACGGATTCCGCCCGAGCATCCAATATCCACCTATTGAGGCGCACAATTTTGAGATCAAGCAAGGCCTATTGACGATGCTCCAAAATAACGGGCTATTTAGTGGATTGGCGGGTGAAGATCCCCATCTTCACATTGTCAATTTTCTAGATACCTGTAACTCCCACCGTCAAAACGGCATTTCCCAAGAGGCGCTTCAATTAATTCTCTTCAAGCACTCCTTACAAGGTAGAGCTCGCCAGTGGTTGATGTCCCAAGCCCCCCACTCTATCTCGTCGTGGCCTCAACTCCTCAACCTTTTCATGAAAGTTTATAGCTCACCCGAGAAGGACGAGAGAATCCGACGAGAAATTCATAATTTTGTCCAAGAGCAAGGCGAGCAATTATACGAGGCGTGGGAGAGATTTAAAACTCTTTTGAGGCAGTGTCCAACACATGGAGTCGAACAATGGCGGCAAATCCACATCTTCTACCAAGGGATCAACCAGAATGCACGAACCGTTTTAGATGCCTCAACCAGAGGTAATTTTATGAGTCAATCGATACCGGATGCATTTATCATGTTGGATCAAATTGCTCAAAATCGGTTTGCCAAGTCAAGCGAGAGGACGGTTAGTGGAGCCAAGAAAGTTCCCGAAGTGTTGGAGTTAGATGCAATTACGGCCCTTCAAGCTCAAGTGACCCAAATTGCTCAACAAAATCAACTCCTTCTACAGCACATCAAAGCAAATCCACCACAACAAGTCCAAGCCGTTGAATCTCCATGTTGTGAAATTTGCGGTGGAAATCATTACACGCTCCAATGCCAACAAGACGTGGAGTCGCTGATCAACTACGTCAACAATGCGCCTCGCCAATTCCAAAATCAAGGGTGGAGATCACAAGGGCAATATGGAGGAAATCAACAAGGCCAAGGGTATCAAAGACCTCAAGGTAAATTCCAAAATCAAGCTCCTCCTCAACAAAGCTATCAAGGCAACAATCCACCGGCCCAAAAATCAAGCACGGAGGAAATATTGGCCCAATTCATGACTGCTACCCAAGCCTCGCTGCGGAACTTGGAGAATCAATTCGCTCAATTTGCTTTGAATCAAGAGAACCGTTCGCAAGGAGCATTGCCATCAAACACGGAGGACCCAAGAAAAAGGCAAAACGAGCAAGTACAAGCGGTGAGTCTACGTAACGGGCGACAATTGGAAGAAGCCCCTAGAAAGGAGACAAATAATGGAAAAACAAAGGCGACCGAGGTGGCGGAAGAGGACACAAACGTTCAAGGCGAAACTTCAAGGGCGAAAGTTACACCGGCTCCTCCCATCCCATACCCCCAAAGGTTCCAATCACCGAAGTTAAATGCCGAATACCAAAGCTTTGTTGACAAGATGAAGGAAATCCGTATCAATATCCCTCTCATCGAAGCACTCCAACAAATGCCAAAGTGGGTGAAGTTTGTCAAAGAACTCGTAACAAAGGGACGAAAATTTCAAGGAAACGAGATGATTCAACTCACCGAACAGTGTAGTGCAATCCTTACGAGACCTCTCCCTCAAAAACTCGGCGACCCAGGTAAGTTTACTATCCCTTGTACAATAGGAGATAATTTTTTTCGATCACTCATTGATTTAGGTGCTAGCATCAACCTTATGCCTTTTTCTACATATAAGAGTCTTGGGTTGGGTGAAATTGAACCAACGGCTATAACACTCCAATTAGCCGATAGGTCTCTAGTCTACCCAAAGGGGGTTTTAGAAGATGTCTTAGTGAAGGTTGACGAATTTATTCTTCCTGCTGATTTTGTGATTCTTGATATGGATGAAGATAGAGAAATCCCAATTATTTTGGGAAGGCCGTTTTTAGCTACTTCACGTACTGTTATTGATTGTGCTAGTGGGGATCTCACCATGACGGTGCATGACCAAACTATTAAATTTAACGTTTTTAATGCAATTAAGCGTCCGCACAATTCCAATGAGTGTTTTTCTATCGATTTAGTGGAGTCTTGTTCTTTTGAAAATTTTGATTCGTTACACTTGGATTCTTTGGAGGCATATTTGGTTGTAGGTAACGACTGTGGAGATGAAAGAGTGGAGGAGCAAATTTGTTGGTTAGATTCCGGCGACTTTCTCACTCGGCAAAAGTTTGAAAGTTTGGATTTGGCCACCCTTACCACCCCCAAGGCATTCAAAACATCATTGGAGGAACCACCACAGCTTGAGATGAAAGAGTTACCCGGACACCTCAAATATGCCTACCTCGGTAAGAATGACACTTTGCCGGTAATTATCTCACAGTCTCTATCTACTTTGCAGGAACAAAGGCTATTGGAAGTACTGCGGGAACACAAGATGGCGCTTGGATGGAAAATTGCGGATATCAAGGGAATTAGCCCTTCATTGTGTATGCACAAAATCATCTTGGATGATCAACAACATCCGTCAGTAGAGCAACAAAGGCGTCTCAACCCCATCATGAAAGAGGTAGTCAAGAAGGAAATTCTCAAGTGGCTTGACGCAGGTATTATTTATCCGATTTCTTATAGCGCATGGGTAAGTCCCGTTCAATGTGTTCCTAAGAAAGGAGGTATGACAGTTATCCGTAATGCAAATAATGAATTAATTCCATCTAGAACAACAACGGGTTGGCGAATTTGTATGGATTATAGGAAATTAAATAAAGCCACTAAAAATGATCACTTTCCTTTACCTTTTATTGATCAAATGCTTGATAGATTGGCAGGTAAAGAATTTTATTGTTTTTTAGATGGATATTCGGGATATAATCAAATAGCCATTGCACCGGATGATCAACACAAAACCACATTTACATGCCCTTATGGTACTTTTGCATTTAGACGCATGCCTTTTGGTTTATGTAATGCACCTGCTACTTTTCAGCGGTGCATGATGGCTATTTTCACCGATATGGTAGAGAACGGTTTAGAAGTATTTATGGATGACTTCTCTATTTTCGGTGATACTTTTGACACTTGTCTTTGCATGTTGGCTAAGGTTTTGCGCATGTGTGAAGAAACCAACTTGGTGCTAAATTGGGAGAAGTGCCACTTCATGGTGCACGAAGGAATTGTGCTTGGGCATAAAATCTCGCGAGAAGGCTTGGAAGTGGACAAAGCAAAGATTTCCACAATTGAAAATCTTCCGCCACCTATTTCGGTCAAAGGCATTAGGAGTTTTCTTGGACATGCGGGCTTTTATCGGCGTTTTATCAAAGATTTTTCAAAAGTTGCCAAGCCCCTTTGCAACCTACTCGAGAAGGAGACAAAATTCAATTTTGATGGTGAGTGTCTTCAAGCTTTCAACGAGCTTAAGCAAAGGTTAGTATCCGCTCCTATTATTTGCGTACCGAATTGGGATGAACCGTTTGAGCTTATGTGCGATGCTAATGATTTTGCGGTGTTTTAGGTCAAAGGAAAGAGAAAAAATTTCGATCAATTTATTATGCTAGTAAAACTCTTAATGATGCACAATTAAATTACACCACTACGGAAAAAGAGTTATTAGCTGTTGTTTTTGCTTTCGAAAAATTTCGCTCTTACTTGTTAGGATCCAAAGTTGTTGTTTTCACTGATCACGCTGCCCTCAAATATTTGTTCACTAAAAAGGATGCAAAACCTAGACTCATTAGGTGGATTTTAATGTTGCAAGAATTTGATATTGAAATTCGTGATCGAAAGGGTAGTGAAAATCAAATAGCCGATCATCTATCTCGTCTTGAGAAAGATGTAGACGAAAGCGATAGAATTTGCATTAATGAAAATTTTCCTGATGAACAGTTGCTTGCTTTTGATAATAAGGTACCTTGGTTTGCCGATTATGTAAATTATTTGGTTAGTCAAGTGCTTCCACCCAATCTCAATTATCATCAAAAGAGGAAATTTTTGCATGATGTTAAATTTTATTTTTGGGAAAAGCCTTTTCTTTTTAGACAATGCAGTGATTTGTTGGTGCGAAGATGTGTCCCGGAACATGAGCAGCAAGACATACTCTTTCATTGCCATGGTTCGGATTATGGAGGACATTATGGGGGCAAAAGAACAGCACGTAAGGTTCTTCAATCAGGTTTTTTTTGGCCCACTCTTTTTAAAGATTCGTATAAATTTTCTATTACTTGTGATCGGTGCCAACGCACGGGCAATATTTCGGCTCGCCATGAACTCCCATTGAACACGATGATCGAAGTCGACCCTTTTGATGTTTGGGGTATTGACTTTATGGGACCTTTTGTCCCTTCATTCAATAACCAATACATCTTAGTGGCCGTCGATTACGTTACTAATTGGGTAGAGGCAATAGCCACCCCTACTAATGATGCATCTGTAGTGTGTGCTTTCTTGAAGAAACAAATTTTCACTAGGTTTGGAGCACCAAGGGCAATTATTAGTGATGGTGGATCGCATTTCGTCAATAAGCAATTTGACAACTTGATGGGCATGTATGGTGTAAAGCACAAGGTTGCACTCTCATATCATCCACAAACGAATGGGCAAGCCGAAGTTACGAACCGCGAAATCAAGAATATCTTGGAAAAAGTGGTAGGCCCAACAAGAAAGGATTGGTCGAAAAAACTCGATGATGCACTATGGGCATATCGCACAGCTTTTAAAACGCCATTGGGAATGACCCCTTACCGTGCGGTGTTCGGTAAAGCATGCCACCTACCGTTGGAATTGGAACATTGTTCTTATTGGGCGCTAAAAAAGATGAATTTCGATTACAAAGAATGCAAGGAAAGAAGGTTATTGCAACTCAACGAGTTGGACGAATTACGAGAGCAAGCGTACGAGAGCAATTGGTTGTACAAAGACAAAGTCAAAAGATGGCACGACAACAACATCTTGCACCGTCAATTTCAAAAACGGCAAGAAGTTCTCTTGTTCAACTCACGGCTTCGGTTATTTCCGGGAAAGCTTAAATCAAGATGGTCGGGGCCGTTCATCGTTCAACAAGTCTTTCCACATGGAGCTATAGAAATCAAGGACCGTGAATCGGAACGAGTATTCAAAGTAAATGGAAATCGACTCAAACACTATTGGGGAGATGGTGGCGAACGTCAAGTGGCCTTGATCACCTTTGCTTGAAGAGAAAGAAGCAACGTCCGGCTGAAGACTTTAAACTTAGCGCTTCTCGGGAGGCAACCCGAACTTTATTGTTTTTCGTATTTTTCTTTAATTTTTCGTTTCGTTTTTAATATCATAAGCATGCATTCTAATTTATTATTTGAATTTTACTTTTCAGGGTTGAAAACGTGATTGAGGGTCGAGTCGGGCGTCCGCGAAAAAAAAAATAGAGGTTGAGACGGCCGTCCCACAAAAAAAGGCACAAAACCGGGACGGCCGTCCCCAAACCAGTGAGGACCAGTAATTTTCGGACGGCCGTCCGGAAAACAGGTATAAAATCCGGACGGCCGTCCCCAAACCAGTGAGGACCGGTAATTTCCGGACTGCCGTCCCAGAAATAGGCCTAAACACGGGACGACCGTCCCATGAGCAGCAGTGAAACAGAAGGCTCGGACGGCCGTCCGAGAAATAGGGTAAAAAATGGGACGGCCGTCCGAGGACAAACTGGGGCGTTTTTAAATTCTAAAAATCAGATTTTCTCCCCCATTATTTCCTAAACCCTTCTCTTTCATCCTCTCACCCTCCCACACACAATTTTCGAATTTTTGAACTTCTCTTCCAAAAACTCTTCAATTTCACACATATAATTCACTCACGCACTCTCAAATTACTATTTTGTGTTGATATTGACATAAGACGAGGATGGCAAAGGGTTTGTGAACCGGAGCCAATTTACAATATTTCGATCGTACGAGAGTTTTATGCGAACACGTTGGTGCTCAAGCATCCACGAGAATTCAATAGTGTGGTACGAAAAATCCATTCCAAAACTTCCCCCAA